ATAACTACTTATTTGACGGAGTCTTTTATACCGTAAAGTCGCGGAGAACCTAACAGGTTACCGGGGCTCCGGCTCGAAGTGCAGGAGAAGGAACGGGGTGGTTTTTAGTCAGTAAGAGTCTGATGTCGGAATACTGAAACGCTACTCAATTTTAAGTCACGCTTAAGTGTAGTTCTGTCACTACTAATTCTTTGTAAAAGGACAGAGACGGCAAGATATTTAAGCACGACTTAAAATTGAGTAACGTGTCAGTATTCCGGCATGACACTCCCTCCCGCCTCACCCAGGCGGGAGAAGTCATTCGATGATTTTGCCCCCTTAAAAAAAACTTAAACACTACGAAGGAGGGTGTTGTGATTATAAAGGCGTAGGGTAACATCAAATATTTTTAGTTACACATTAAATCAGTGGCACAACGCACGTCTTTCAATATTAAAAATACCTCTAATCGAAAATGGACCCTATCGCATTCATCAGAGGGATATGGTAAACCTTCTATTATTAAGATGTTAAATCGTATAATCATTCGCAAAATTAAAGGAAGCCTTTCATTGTCCTAATAAAAGTGACCAAGACGTGACCAAGCACACGTGAAATTTACTCAGTGACAAATGAATTGATCGAGGCCAAACTTGTGATTCTGGGTGCCCGAAATAGCCAGGCTCTTGACCTCCGACGAGGATGCAGTCACGTAGGCTAATCTTCGAGTATGACGCGGTTGAGACGAAACAGAACTTTCACACGAAGTGGAAACTATCGTTTTTTTTCTTCTCCTCTTATAATATCTTCTGAATCACTTCGTTGCGGGAACCAAGAAGGGGTAGGCAGAGGTGCACATTATGCCACTGTAAGTACAATGTAACACCCACTTTTCACTATTTATGTTATGAGTCCCATGTAATAGGGGGTGAGCCTATTGCCATATACCGGGCACAATTCCAGGCTCCGTGCTACTGCTGAGAATTTTTTTTAAATCCAGTAATACTTTGCCCGACCCGGGAATCGAACACGAGACCCCTTGCCCGGCATCGCACTTGCGACCACTAGGCCAACGAGGCAGTCATCGATTCATAATATTACTGATGAAAAGTGGGTCTTGCAGACACGTGCACTTCTGCATATCCTTTCGAGGATTAAAATATCTTACACCATGATACGTTAAAAATAAGAAAGTCAAAGTCAAAATCATTTATTTCAATTAGACCAGAAAGGCACTTTTAAACGTCAACAAAAAAAAAATAAAAGTGAAGCTATTTGCTCATTCCAAGGTGTAGATTCCTATGGAGAAGAACGAGCAAGAAACTCCATAGGTTAGTCTTTTTCAATCGGGTCTACAATACAATGGGGATGATGACAGGGTATGAAAATTAAAAATCTAATTAGTCCGTAAGTTAGGTAATTAAAAAATATTAGACACGTATTTTTTTATTTTGTCGTATAATAAAACAATACTAGATAAAACGAATCAAAGTTTAGGAGTGGGGGCTAAAACGTCATTTCTCAGTATAAAATGTACTGAGAAGTGACGTCACGCGACATTTCAAATCAATATATCTTCGAAACTATTCGTTTCCGTAAGAAAATAAAAAATACGTGTCTAATGTTTTTAAATAATCTACCAGACGGACATTAAAATAAAAATTAGTCGTCTACCCCATTCTTGTCTTGCTCAATCAAGCAACATTTGTAGTTTACAAAACTAAGAAATAAACATTAACAAACGTTTCCACCGAGATCCGGTCGACGTGTCTACCAACAGTCTATCACGTAGGCACACTAACTTCGCAATAAAGCATTCAGGTCATAGGTAATTGTCCAGTTTGTATCATCTGCTGGTACACGAGATGTGTCTCACGTATGTCTGCATCATTTGAATGTATAAGATCGACATGTATACTTTTATTTGGCTTTCTTATTGCCCATATCTAATTACCCCTCTTCAATCCCCGAATCACGTCGCGGAGAACCTAACGGGTAACCGGGGCTCCGGCTCGACGTGCAGGAGAAGGAACGGGGTGGTTTTTAGTCAGTAAGAGTCTGACACTCCCTCCCGCCTCACCCAGGCGGGAGCAGTATTTCGATGACTTTCCCCCCTTAAAAAAAAAATCCCCGAATCACTAACAATCCTCAAATTCCTAACCCCCAAAGGTTGACAACGCACTTGTAACACCTCTGGTGTTTCGTGTGTCCTTGGGCGACGCCGATTGGTAACCAACAGGTGATCTGTCTCCTCGTTTACCGGCTTATCCTCATACAAAATCATGAAAGTCAGTCATACTTCGGCACTCCTTCGGCCCTTCCTAGATCACACCGCTCCGTCGTGAAACAACGTTTGCGTTGTGTTTCGCTGTGTGAGCGAGGTTACCGAAATCCTTAAAATCAGCAACAGGCCGGTAACTCCTATAGCTCCTTTGGTTCTGCGCCGGTGCTAAATGCTTACCATCAGGTGATCTGCCTGCTTGTTTCTTACCTATTCCAGCGTCTGTCCTGCCTGCCTGCGGAGATTATGACAAACCCTCTTATGTAGAGGAGGCTTCACTGACAGACAGACGGACGGACAATTCAATGTTTGACGTTTCAAAAGTGCCTAATTAATATTATAATGCTTTCTTTGACTTTGATACTCATAGTCCAAAAGTGGACTGTCACCGATGATCGATGATATAATACCCTAAAGGAGTCCACTCCCTTCTATTAACTTCTATATGTTTGCTCTGTGTCAAAACAGATTGCCTTTACATATCGAATTACTACTTCTAGGTATTGACTTGTTCAAACATATTATTCGTGTTAATATAAACAGGAGATACAATAACACTACAAATAGATATTTATAGCACAATAAAATGCTTATGCTTTATTTATTACTTCCTTTATCATTTTAACATATAAACATATTGCAAATAGCTAAAAGACATTGTTTTTATAATAACTGTCGTGGGATATACTTGGTTAACTAAAAATTTCGGGTTATCTACGTAAATACACTGAGAATACCTCTACTAGTTGTTGATGCTACGCCGCCACCGCGCATGCTGCTCACGAGGAAGAGTTCTTCTTCAAAGTCAAAGTCGAAATCATTTATTTCAATTAGGCCATAATGTTTTGAACGTCAACAAAAAAATTAAAAGTGAGGCTATTTGCTCATTCCAAGGTGTAGATTCCTTCCTTTTTTAATCAGATTCACAATACAATTTACTAGTTGCATAGTTTTGATTGTCGCCAGGCGTTCGATATTTGAAAATTTTTGCCGTTCGATTTTTAAACGAATTTTATTAGCATGCTATTTTAAAAAATGTGTCACAGTTTAGCCTTTGTTTGTCATTTCATAAAGGGACGAAGAAAAAAGTCGTGACTTTGCACTCTATAGCGAATATCATAAAGCAAATATTTCAATACCACTTTGTTCTCTTACCCCTACAATACGGTAAAAGTACAATATATGTATAGATTGCATTGTTCTTCAAGTTTCAAGCGTGAAGGGTATTTTCAGTCGCACTATGTCAGTAATACGTCACTGTATCTTGTTTTCTATCGCGATGGAAATCCTCATGGACTTCCCACGTCGTGGGGACGACCTACCGCTATGTTTGCGGCAGGTCGCAGGTCCCACCTTAGCGGCCCGAGGAGGTTGCTTCCCTTCTTCGAGTAGCGCGCGTGGAACACTAACACCTACTCCCGCTTATATAGCGGGCGTCTGACTCCCCCGGTCAGTCGCTCGCAGGCCTCTCCTATGAAAGTCGCAGATCATACGTCACTGTATTAACTCGTCGAGTACCGGTTTTATAGACACAATTAAAGAACAATAGGTCGCGGTCACCGGTGACCGCTTGGTGTTTGACAGTTTAATTTCAACAGAATTTAACCTTGTTAGGAAACTGTTCTATAAATCAGTCCACTGCTGCACTATGAGTCTCCTCTACATAAGAAGGTTTGTCAAAATCTCCGCAGGTAGGCGGGTTGGGGATCGTAGTGTAAAAGGTTCAGGTTTATCTTGAGAGCGCTGATGCACGGTCTCTGTTGAATACGTAGTCGCTTAGTCGCGGTACGATACTGTCGGGATGAATAGCGATGCTTGAAGTCATGAATCGGTGAACTGCCGAGTCCCCAAGCGGTCACTGATCACCTGATGTTAAACAATCGGCGCCGACCATGAGCCTGGAACACCTGGAACACCAGAGGCGTTACAAGTGCGTTACCGGCCTTTTGGGGATTAGGAGTTTGAGGATCGTTGGGGTTAATAATGGTCCGGTCCCTCCGGTAACCTCACTCACACGACGAAACACAAAGCAAGCGTTGCTTCACCTCGATCTTCTGCTCGGCCGTGGTATCACTCCGGTCGAGCCGGCCCATTCGTGCCGAAGCATGGCTCTCCCACACTTAAAAAAATAATAACTAATCTATCTCTTAAATTAATTTTAGATACTAATAACGAATCCTCTGTATCAATCTGTTTTCGATACGAACTCCATACAACTAATGTCCAAAATCGATGTTTATCTACAGACATATTTAAATAATGGACGGAGAAAAGGGAATGCGTCGGTCGATAACCTATATCTAATGACCTTGTGGGAGAAATACTCGAAAAGGGCCAGGTGCGATGTACTCTATCTAAATCGGGGTGTATATTAATGTTATGGAAGCTAAAACAGTATGCATTATGCAGGGATCGTAGTAAATGATGTTTCTTGCTTTGTAGTTTCAGTCCAATACAAAGACGTGAGTTCGTGCATGCATGTGTCTACGTAGTCAGCCTTCTGTAACTATCTATTGTACGTACATGCGCCAACGCAACGCTTTGTTTACTCACCGGACCATGCGTTTGCGTTCTCAATTCGAATTCTACTTCAGTATCGCGTCAGCCGTCGAGCGGGACGCACGTGTCGCTCCGAATAAATTTAATACGCAGTTGATATTTTATTTGTGTGGTTTTGTTATTCGGTATTTGATTTTTCTCTTATTGTGTGCTCTGTGTGTGATTGTGTACTGTGATAAAAATGGCTATGGAGCCGTTAACGTCTGTCCCAGTGGATGAACTTGGTAATTTTAATTATGTATAATTATATTATTATGTATGTATATTTCTTTGTTTACAACTTGATGTTGTTGACTTGTGAAATTGAAAGTTGTTTTTTTTTCTTTTTTGGATGTTTGCCAGCGGTTTCGAGATTGATTTATTTGGTATGATTGTTTTTTAATGTATAGTTTTAGGGACACGTGGATTTCTATAGTTGTTGATTGATAGTTGACTAATTGTGCTTTTATGCGTTTTTAGAAGTCGATTCTTCTCTATTTGTCGTGATGGTGGTGTTGGATTTATCGAAATATGTTATTTTTTATGAACCTTATTAAAAATATGGTCTGGTAGCCGATAAAAATGTCATGTAGATACTTGTTCTAACATGTTTGTTTCTGATTGGAAAATTAGAAGGAATTTCCTTAGTCTTTGTTTTTCCAATACTTGTTCCAACTCCTGTGTCGAGCTGGAGCCTCAGTAACCCTTGCATTTTTGTAGTAGTCATTTTTACTAGGGCATCTGGATTCTGGAAGTCATTGAGGATGGTTAATGTTCAGCCATGCACATTTTGTAGATGATATATTATAATGATGATGATGATGATGATACTTCTGAAGATGAGGACACTCATAGTCTACTAGTGGACTATCACAGACGGTTTTTTTTAAGGGGAGAAAATTATCGAATGACTGCTCCTGCCTGGGTAAGGCGGGAGGGAGTGTCAGACTCTTAGTAACTAAAAACCACCCCGTTCCTTCTCTTGCACGTCGAGCCGGTGCCCCGGTAACCCGTCAGGTTCTCCGCGACAAACACAGACGGTTAACATTTAAGTTTTTGATTTAGAACAACTAGAGTGTTTGCCACGAAATTCATTCCTTGGCAGGCGGGTTGGAGATCGCAGTATAAAAGGTTCAGGTTTATCAGAGAGTGCTGCTGTACGGTCTCTGTCTAATGTGTAGTCACTTAGTCAGGTTTTACGATACTTTAGGGATGATCAGGTTCCTAATGGCATGTCTTCATTCATGAAATAAGTATTAAGATGGTAGATTGCCTCATTGGCCGAGTGGTCGCAAGTGCGATTGCTGGGCATGGGCTCTTGGGTTCGATTAGGTCGGGTAGGTCAAAGTGTTACTGAGATCTAAAGAGTTTGGAATTGTGCCCGGTATATGGGAATAGGCTCACCCCCTTATTATATGGGATTCATAACATAATCAAAAGTAAGTGTTATGTAGGAGTAGCATTAAGTGCCGTAACGTACACCTCTGCCTACCCCGTCAGGGATAAAAGGTGACCACCGATATAGCTCCAAAATTCCATAATCGGTTCTTACGAATTTTGTTAGGGTCCAGGTTTATCAGACAGCGCTGCTGCCAGAACCCTGACAAAACTATGACTTATTGTAAAATAATATTTAACGATTCACTACACACGTTTCAAACGGCTTCAATATGTTAATGGCTTCGTTATTTTTATGTTCACGTGATCGTAATGGCAATTTGAATGTTAATCGACTTTTTTTATAGTTTACATACAACATGCCGATGTGTGAATAGGAAACTGGTATACCCTCGCAGAATGGGGCCTTTTAAAGAAATATTATGAGAAAGAGAATGAAAGATTGTTATTATAAGATAGGCACGAATGGGCCGGCTCGACCGGAGTGATACCACGGCCGAGCAGAAAGTTATAGTGATACAACGCTTGCGTTGTGTTTCGTCGTGTGAGTGACGGTACCGGAGGCCCAATTACCTACCCTCCTTTTTCCTCAATCTCCCCAATCCCTGAATCGCCAACAATCCTCAAATTTCTAATCCCCAAAAGGCCCGTAACGCACTTGTAATGCCTCTGGTGTTCAATGTGTCTATGGGCGACGCCGACTGCTTACCATCAGGTGATTCGTCTGCTCGTTTAACGGCTTCTACCATAAAAAATAGATGATTATTTTATACCGGACTGTAGGAAAAGTATTGTTTTTTTAATTCACCCGTTCTTTTAGGATTTTCGAAAAATCCTTGGATAAAAAGTATTCTATGTCCATTTCCTGGTTATAAACTCTTCACTCATTTTTAGTCAAGACTTCGCGATATTTATGTAGATACATTCCCTAATTACGAACTTTCTAGTTGAATAAAATAAATTAATTACAATGCAAAGGTTGGTTGACTCGGAAATGTATTAATCACTATCACTACGAGTCAGACAGAAAGTCATAAATTATAAATCTTTAATAATAATAATGTGACTGATAAGTTTACAGATAATGCATGCTATTTACGTCTGCCCGTCTCTATACTAGTAATATTACAAAGAGGAAAGAAATGATTTATATCTTCTTTTCTTAAAAATTTGCTGGAAAAATACTAAAATTAAGTCGGTAATGAAATCAAATATTGAAAGTGTGATTATTTTTTAATATTTTATTGTATTGAACAGTCGAAATAATTTATTTTTGATTAAGGAAAGTCCAATTAAAAAAACATCAACCATTAATAGTTTGTCTATTATTATAAATAAATACGTAAACGAATCGAACGAACGCTTTGACCAAAGTCAATGTACGCGATTAAAAACCTTAAAATAACTTGTTATCAGCGTTGCCAAGCAACGATGCCACGAGGAAACGACAACTTTTGATAAAATTATTATGTACCAGTCACCAGCGGTTCATTAATACTCCAAGTCTCCAATCTGTATTATTAAACGATTTTATTTAACCTGCCTCGTTGGCCGAATGGTCGCAAGTGCTACTGCCAGGCAAGGGGTCTCGGGTTCCCCGGCCGTCGCGAGAGACACTCCGGGAGTCGGGGATCGCGAGACGATCACCGGCCACCGTAAGCACGGGCCTGCGGACGGCGAGTTTGGGTGACTCCCCGCCTGACCAGAACCAGGCCCGAGCGTACGGCGCGTCGCGTTCCGCGCGCGCTTCAAGGAGCCATCAAACCACCACAGATGGGGCCCAGCAGGGCTGATGCCGATACGTAGCCGCGGAAGACTTAACGGGTTGGTTGCCGGGGCTCCGGCTCGAAGCGCAGGACAAGGAACGGGGTGGTTTTTAGTCAGTAAGAGTCTGACACTCCCTCTCCCATCTCACCCAGGCTGGAGAAGTCGTATATATATATCCTTCAAGAAAAGAGCGTACTCCTTTTTAAAAGGCCGGCAACGCACCTGTGACTCTTCTGGTGTTGCGGGTGTCAATGGGTGGCGCTGATCGCTTACCATCAGGTGATCCGTCTGCTCGTTTGCCTCCAATTCCATAAAAAAAGAAGTCATTCGATGATTTTCCCCCTTAAAAAAAAATCCCCTTTGGGAATAAAAAGCGTGATGATGTTATGTCTTTTATTTAACTTGCCCCATTTGTTTGTTTGGGTCTATAAAAATTGCAGTTTCACCCCCTTTAAATACGCTTAAATACATATCTGAAATTATTTACAAAGTAGTTCGGATGTAAATTAAAAGTACCCTTAACCGACGAGCATGCATGAAAAGATTGATGACTGTTGATGAAGCGAAAGAGGTATGTAGGGATCGTAGTAATTGGCGTTCCTTAGTCTCTGCCTACACCCATGGGAGACAGGCGTGAAGTTATGTGAAACAAGTGAATTTATTTCTGCAAATAGGCTACAAGGCAGCACTTTTACACGTCAATTTTATCAAGCGAACGATGAGGTCGACATTTCCTAACTGACTACTTTGAGAAGAAATGCCGAAATAAACTCAGAGGTCTGTCTCTTTTAAAGTCCAGACAATATGTACAACATATTATGTGTGAGAACCGTGCCAGTTCTTTCTGTAGTTGCCTTTTGAGGAAAGAACCACAACAGTTTGAGCGGACCCGTTCTGAAAGCCGTATGTATGTATGTAGCTCGGTTGTTTCCTCGCTACATACCTACCTACATTGCCTACTATAATAGTTGTCTATTTCCGGCAATTGAACGCGTATACTCGTTGAATATTAAACACCTTTGGGTTTTTAGTCTCAGCTCTACTGTTTAGGGTATAGGAAGGTTCTCGAGTGTTGTTGTTTATTCTCCTGGCTGTTTAAATTCAAATTGGAATGAACCTTCTCACGCCCCAGCCGTCGCGGAAGACACTCCGGGCTAGGGTTGCCACCCGTACTTTATAAAAAAAATTTTATACGTATTTATCTACTTATGTTGAATCGATTTCGCCACTCGCCAGCGCCACTTAGAAAATTTCTAGTAAAGATGCAATTGTTTAGTATTTCAATGCAATTGTCTAGTAAAGATACTAATTTAATACAAACTGCATCCTCGATAAATGCGCTATCCAACACAAAAAGAATTATTCAAATCAGACTTGTAGTTAGGGAGATTAGCGCGTTCAAACAAACAAACTAACTCTTCCGCTTTATATTATAGTATATATAAGAGTAAAAGATACATGCATATTGTAGCCGTACGAAGCTAGGGCGTCTCGCTAGTCAAGGATAATGTAGGATTCCAACGGTATAATATTATTTAAAAAGCGGTTCAGTAGTTTCGGAGCCTATTCAATTCAAACAGCCAAAAAAAAAAAATCAAATATTTCCTCTCTTTAATATTAAATAAAATGTAGATTATATCTAGTCTTGGTGACGGCATGAAATTGGAATTATTCAACGATTCGGTGCAGTGTACGACTTGGAATTTCAATTAGGGAAGGAGTCATGCGTAGCGCACGTGCATTTCAGAGAATCATCAAAAGAATACTCTTTAGTTGTCGGTGACTGACAGACAAGATACAGCTGTGAGTGCAGCTTTATGTATGGCATAGGTTGGCAAATGAACAGACGGATAACCTGATGGTAAGCAATCAGCGCCGCCCATGGGCACCCACAACACGAGGGAAAAAAATCATCGAATGACTTCTCCCGCCTGGGTGAGACGGGTGGGAGTGTCGGACTATTACTGACTAAAAACCACCCCGTTCATATTCCTGCCCTTCGAGCCGGAGCCCCGGCATCCCGTTAAGTCCTTCGCGGCTCCGCTTCGCTGCCTCACGCGGTTCGCCTCCTCCTTAGCTA